TTTGCTACTGGGCTCAAGTCTAGCCAGACGAACCTCTAGCCCCGAACTTTCAACCCCAACCCGACTGCTTGGGTTTACGATGTACAGCAGCGGCTTGTGATCCCAACCGCCCGGTCTATCGATGATTGCAATTTGTTGTGGACGCTATAAGCATCAACAAGTGGCATCATACAGAAGCTGATAAGAAACAAGTAACAAGTGAGCATAGCAAGAACCATAACTCCAGCCGGAGAAGCAGCATGGGGCCACAATTCGGCAAGAGCGGCTGGATCCATGCATTCATTTCTTCTGCTCGGCCTCTGTCCCAGAGCAACACACCCCCAGCTGGGCCTCCCAGACTTTCACCATTGCCCCTTAGCTGGCGGCTTGCGCACGGACCCACGACACTAAACCCGGGCTGCGACATTAGCCAGGAGAATCCGTCCAATTCAGGCACTACCAAACCAGATGTGGAACCCGCAAAACCCTTCAACATCCTTCAACCTTCTCCCTCAGTCCAGAGTTGTTTCGGGGTTGGGCGCTCGACAATACTCCCAAAATCTTCGTGGGCAAGCTTTTAGCTCCCACCAGTACCCAGGCTTCTTTTGCCTCCTGCTTCGCAAGGACAAGCCCGGATGTCAACCCTGATTACCCAAGCCTAAACCCTAAACCCTGATTACCCAGGCACAGGTCTTGGTCTTGTTCACAGGTTTAGGACGAGAAGAAGACGGCCACTGAGTCATGGGCTACTGCCCTTCATCCCTAACTTCTGTAGGCAAGCCTTTCATGTCTGGGGAAGCACGACAACGACGACCGGTCGATCGCAAATTCAACAGGCTGAACGAGCTGGATAAATAAGCTGTTGCGACGAAGTACATTCAAAACAAGTCCCATGAAAACTCTCAATATCAGGGCCAGTCTTGATAATGACCACTCAGCACACAGTCGCGGACCACAAAGCACTGCGAAAGAACAGGTGGCTAAAGATCACCAGGCAGAAACGATACTGCAGCGCACACGATGTGCTGGAGGCAAACGGTTCAGGGGAAGACACTTCCGCAACCTACAACATGTCAACCAATGCCCCTATAGGCAACACCACCAATACTATTTCTAGTATTGTTACCGTGATTGTTATTATCATAAAGAAATGTTTCTTGTTACAACTATCATCATCATCCTCATCCTCAACATCATCATCATCATCATCCTCAACATCATCATCATCATCAAGGTCAGTTCAAAAGGCTGGGGCTTCAGCCCCAGCTACCCTTTTTCATATGACAGCTTCCGAAAACACGCAACCCAAAGATAGACCCTGCCAAAAGAATAGGGGTATCCCAGAACAAAGGACGGCTAATCTCAAACAAAGCGCCTTACAGTATGGCTTGTCTTACTGCTGCAGGTCGATGGCTGGGTCTTGCTGCCACTTTGTCCAAGACTCCCTTGTGCTCCTCACCGAGACCCATGGCCAGCGCTCGCTGGTACGTGGCCAGCGTGGCCGCAACGACAGGGGGTACCGGAAGGCCTTTTGGGGCTTCGGCTTCAGACTTCGATTCCAGGGCTTTAGCCGTACTAGTAGGAAGGTTTGATGCAAATGTCGCATTGCAAGCCACTGCAAGCAGCAAGGTTTAGGGTTAGATTCCAGATTCCAGGGTACAGAAGCTTTGGGTTCAGGACGGACACGGCAGAAGATGGCATTCCTGCATTTTGTCATTTTCGGCCTACCAAGCATGTCCGCCGTGCGTGGTGCTTAGTGTGTCCTGTTTGTTGACCGTTGGTGTCAAAAAAACCAAAGAAAACACGGAAGAATGGACTTCAGATGCACCCCAAGAAATCTGTAGACAGGGAAGGTCAACAAATCCTACGCCGAGAGCGCAGTCGATTATGGCCAGTATCGGCCTAGAACATATGCATCGCCCGAACCCTGAAAGCTAGAGTTTCGTTGGAAAAACCTTAAGAACCTAAAATCACCTCAGATGTTCTGCCCGGGTGAACTTAAACGATCAACTGACGTAGTCAGTAGGGTTACAGGGCCCTTGACCATCTCTTAACAGGGATCTATCACGGTTTCTACACGTTTCTGAAGGTTCTGCAGGGTTCAGGGGGAGCTTAGCTTGCAAGTAGAGCTAGAAGGCTTTGAAGACTTCTGACTACAGCTAGTGTAGGGGCCTAAATGATTAGAATAGGGCTTTGGGGTATATGATACTATAATTAACATAAGGAAACCCCCAGAGCAGTGTAGGTAATGATGCACCCTAAACCCTAAACCCTAACTGACCTAAACCCTAGACATAATGAAGGCCCCTATATATTACCCTATGACCCCACTTCTTCAGCCCCCTAGGACCCTTTGAGCAGCCGAATCAGACCTTGGGTCTGTCGTTGCCATGATGTGCCTCTGGAGCCCTTCAGAGTTGCGGGTTTTGGTCTCAGAGCCTACGTGTTTGGGGTTTAGGGTTAGGGGGTTTAGTGTTTAGGATTGCGGGTGTAGGGCTTCTGGCTCAGTGTTTAGGGTTTCGGGTTTAGGGTTTCTAGTTCAGTTTTTAGGGTTTCGGGTTTAGGGTTTCTGGTTTGGGGTTTAGGCTTTCGGGCTTCGGGTTTAGGGTCTCGCAGCCCTGAACTCCATGAATCCTGAGCCCTAGACTCGCTAAGCAAAGTAAACCCAGGCATTACCTTAAGAACCCAAAACCTAATTTATTGTAGGGTCCCTATAAATCCCATATTAGGGTTTATAATAAGAACCTACAAGAAGTGGGTTTTGGGTTCTTAAGCTAGGGCTTCGCACCGAAGAGGGCACCTTCCGCAGAGGCCGCCGCTACCAGCGTCTCGAGGTCTTTGAAAGCCGCCCCCATGGGAAAGCCGTGCTTTGGCGCCTCGAACTCACCTTGAACGCTCGGTGTAATGGAGGGGCCTCGATAATTAGACTAAGGTTTTCAGGCAGATTGCAGCAAAACTAGCATGAGGATCCCGAAGAAATAACAACTCGTGATTCTCGACGCTTCTGTACTACTTATTGCGGTTTGGGATTCACGGCGCATGCTTTGGGGCATGGCGTCGGGGGGAAGGGTCATAGGTAAGACTTCAGGATCCCCGAGATATCATATTCATATGACATTTTGTACCTGATATTAAACATAATAGGAACGAATAGAACAGAAAAGACTAGAACATGGTATAGTATGAACAGATACTATATATTGTAATTACCATAACACAAAGATAATACATTATGTTAGCTGTATCCACCAGGCTGCGCTGCAAGACCAAAGAGGCCCATTGATTGAAACCGAAGGACCTGGGGCATCTGCAGAGTGTTGAGGCGTTGGCCTTCCATGTGCTCGGGTTCAAAGCGCAACTTCGGGCAAGCGTATTTTTTCATGTATACATACGTAAGCACACACACACACACACACACATATATATATATATATATATATATATATATACTTGCTCGTATGCCGTGTCCATGCAAGTATCTTCTCCTACGGCCTTAAGACCCGAACCCAAAGGCCAAGCCCAGGTGCTGCCCTGTTCCGGAGGTGACGGCGTCCACGAAGGCCGGCATCGGCAGCCCCGCGCGCAGGGCGAAAGGGAGCATTTCGGCCATGGCCGCGCAGCTGACGTTGTAGAGGCCTTGCCGGCTCTTGGGTTTAGGGTTTAGGGTTTAGGGCTTAGGGCTTAGCGCTTAGGGTTTAGGGTTTAGGGCTCAGGGAAGGGGTTTAGGGTTTAGGGTTTAGGGATGAGGATGTCCTAAGGCTCTAAGGA